TGGAAGCGGCTTCGACTCATCCCGCCCTGGGCTCGGCGCTCCCAACTCCGCCACCTGCCGGCAGCGGCGCCGCACAGCGCCCGGCCAGCCGGGCCTTCCCTGCGGGCGGCCTGAAATCAACCCGAGCCTCCTCTCGCTCACTTGGGTGTGAGTGAGGGCGTCCATGTGAAGGAGAGGAGGCTCCGAGTCGATGTATTTAGTTCCTCAAACCTCACCTCTGAGGTTTGTTGGTCTTTTTTGTTGTTCTGGGTTTTTTTAGGCGTCTGGTTGTTGTTCGAAAGAAATAACAGTTTTGGGAGAAATTCTGCTGTGAAAGGAGACCAGCAGCAAGAGGATGAACTCATGGGGTACACTGTTAGTAGGTGAAGTGATGATCTTATGGCATGCATGCCACGGAGACTTGTCTTTTAGCAAAAATGCAAGCCTTTGCCTTTCTGTGCTGGGTAGAGGCAGCTGCTTCTCAATTGGATCCTAGCTGGAAGGAACAGTCTTCTATCACAATAAGCATATATTGTTTTTGCAGGGGCAGGGAGTGGAATAAAGAGCCTCTCTAGTACAGACAGTGTCCATCCTCATTTGTAATAATCGATTAATCAATCAATCTTCCATTTTATAGAATGTTTCTTGAGTACTTTTTGTTTGTTGCACTTACCAGGTAGTAGAACAGGCAGGCAAAATGCAGGGTTTGGTTTGTCTCACAAATTGAAAACAAAGTAGTACTTCATGTATGCCACTCTTCATGTGATTTGATTAGCCCTTATCCTTTATCAGGCACAGCAGATGTTCAAGGGTAAATGTAACAAAACCCCACATAACTCACACAAAATAATTATTATTATCTCTGGAAGGCAAGCTATTAACAGCAGTGAAATAACAGAAAGGAGTACCATCATACACAGCTTTACTCTGTTTGCTTGGCCTGAGGCCTCTGGAACAACTTTTGCTGGGAATCCCATCATTAGGATGGCCTCAGCATTTCTACTGTTATTTACTTCTTTTGTTGTTGTTTTAGCATATTTGATATGGACTATTACAGCAGTCTATTGTCTCCATATTGGAGCCATATTTTCTGCTTCACACAAGCAGTTTTCAGTTCAAGGTATGGCTGGTGTTGGTATCCAGTTTAGTTTATTCTGTTTGGTTGGTTTGTTTTTCTATGAATACAGATGATGAGGGTAATTTTGAATGCTTTTGCAATCAGAAGCTCCCTTTTGTAATTTTTTTTTGTTTGAGTTCTTAGAAATACTTTAAACAATAGAAGTATGTAAGTATGACTGTGCCAGGATAGTCTATGTTAATAAACTTTTAAAATGCTGCTCAGTATCTTTATCTTGCCACAAATAAATTAAATGCTTTGCATGTTCCATGTCAAAATTATGAGTTGTTTGATAAAATTTATAAACATTTATGCAAGTAAGTCTCACTGTAAATTTTAGATACTTCTTGTTCTTTGCTTTTATTTAAAAACTTTGACCATATGTGATTTTTAATCCTGTTACAGTTTTAAAACCTCTTGGTGTGGTTTCCAGACCTTGCTTTGCATCCATTTAAGATTTTTGAATATTTTACAGAAGGGGAGTTTTGTCAGGAGCACTTCTTTGACATAATCAGGCCACTCTCGAGGTTTATAACATCATCTCCTAGAGGAGAAGTGGACGTGCAAGAAATACTCTTTGCCCACACTGGCAGATACTTTTAACTTTAAAACAGGATTTAGCATTGAAATGAATGAACATGCAAAAGCAATTCAAAGGCTGCAGCCCACTCAGTACTGAGGAATGAACTGCAAACTCCCAGCTGCTCTCCTGCAGGAAAATGCCATGTCTTCATCACAATCCTGTGAGTTACTACTGAGCTTCTCAATTGCTGTGTACTGATGCACCATGATAGTAAAAGACTTTCCCAAATTACAGGTCTCTCTGCAAGAATTTTCAGGGCTGAAGTTTATCAGACCAGCTCCTCCAACTACAGCAAATGTGTTCTTTCTGACCTTTGTTTTGATGGTGCAAGTTGCTGGATTGAGAGTTCCTTATCTTTTGCAGGTTGTTAATAATAATAGAATTATGTGAACTTGATCAGATAGGCAAACCACCTTCAGTACCTTGTAAATGCATAGTTGTTTAGCAAGCCAGAACTGGAAACAGCAAGTTGTGCCAATTTACAGAGCTTTCAATACAGTGTATATCTGGGTCATATTTTCATCTTTGTGCTGAGAGTCTCATAAACACAAAGAAACTGTGTTAAAATAGTGTATAACAACATAAAAGTAATAAAAGTGGGACGTTCACAGTGTTGATGTACATGTATCATGTTTATTGCACTCTTTCTTGCATGGCAGGGAAACCCTATGACAACCTATGCCCAAGATCTAGAAAAAGCGACTTCCCAAAAGAGAAAAAAAATTAAAAAAAGAAAATACATGCTAATTCTAATGACTCATTGTTGCCTTCTGCCACTTCTGGAAGAAGTCCCTAGCCCATTACGGGCCTCCTAGCTATTTTGACTTGCCAGTAAAAATCATGACGAGAAATGTGAATGTGATCACTGTCTTTACTGTTGCTGTTGTTAACCATAAAGCTTTGTTTTTCTTTTAGGGTGGGTGCTGGGTGACCAGGTAATGGACGACATTCTTTTATGGCTGACGACTGGGAAAGCATCTCTGGAGAAGGAGCTGCTACACACAAAGTGATAATTGTGAACAGCTACTGTTCCATCAACTGGAAGAGCCAAGGCCGACCACTAAGTAGAACTAATGAATGTACCCTTTCAATAACAACTGATACCAGGTAATGCTTATACAAAAGAGGTAAGTGGTTTGATGACATGACTTCTGTTTTAATTGCGGGCATACCACAAAATCTCTATATGTATCTGATAGTACGACACCGTTTTTCAATGTGACCCTCCAATTTTGCTAAAATGACCACAGCTTTAAATGTTGCTTGGAAAAATAAGTATCTCTTCAAAAAGGGATGAAAAAGGAAAAAAAAATAACGAACCCACCTTGAAACTTAACACAACATTACAATGAAAAAGGATGCTGATCCCTGATAAGGCGGGCTTGGGAGAGTGGGTAAGGGAGAGATAAAAAGCCAAGACAAACCTGTAGCACTAAGTGGGTGAAACTAAGGTGGGGGAGGATTAAGATGGTGTATTTCCCTCCCAGGCCAGGTTTTACTTCATGAGAGATTTAAATGGGTGATCTTCCCCTGGGATATGTCATCATTATCAATATCAAGGAAGCAACAAAGGTTGCTGCTGAGTGTCTCTCTCTCATTTCTCCTCTTCCACGATGACAGAGGAGAGGGGGAACCAGGGAGACTCGGAGGCAGCACCAGTCTTCAGCAGACTCTTCCACTGGACAGTAATAGGCAGTGAAGTGTGAAGTAGGCATGGTACAGGGAGACCCAAAGTCCCTTTTCAGGAGGTGCTTCAAGCAAGGAAGATGGACAAATTCCTCATCTCAGCACTGCTGCTGCTACAGAAGTTGCACAGATGGAGTGAACTCACCCCATAGACAGTGTTTTCATGCTGCACATGTTCAGAGGTAAGTTTCAGACCTAATCAGTGTGTTGAAGGTACTTTAGTGATGGTCACAATGGTTTCTTTCCATGGGAAAAGGAAAATCACGTCACAAATCTGTACATATTGCTTTGTGACTGTCCTGCCTTAGTATGATTTCCTGAAGTATTTGTCTTAAGTGAATGAATTATGGCAGGGATTGAGTATGATGCTCAGTTGTTGTCACCTCGTCTTCATTTTGTAAAGAATTTACCTCTGCATTTTCCAGACTATTTTAGCATGTTCCCTGCTGTTACTTGGATGCCTAGATTGCTATTTGATGCCCTCATTGTGATTTGTATATTTCTCACACTGAGTGATGTTAATATTTAATGAATTTTAGACCAGCATAAAGAGAAGATTTGATGCATTCGATGTCACTTAAGAAATTATTAGGGTAGATTTATTTTTCCTATGGCTGTTGCTTTAGAAAGGCTGTGGCTGCACTTTAATTAGAAAAGGGAAATGTAACCACTGATTACAGAGAAGTAAGAAAAAGCCAGTTTACCAGAAGATTCAGTACATCTTTCCAAAGGAAAAAAAAAAAAAATTGGATGTGTGAAAATCTGTTCTGGAGTAGTGCATATGTATCTCTACAGGGTTATCTTTGGTTAAAATGCATGGAAATGTAAAAATTACATTTCCCAGAAAAAAAATAAAATTCTAGGTAACGTGCATTTTATTTATATACTGAGTTTAAAATGTATTCTACATAGCACGGAGAAAGTTTTAGACCTCACTTATTTTTTAGGAAATATAAAACCCTTATAATAGCATCTAAATGATTCTATGTTCCTATGCAGCTTCAACCTGTACAGACTGAGGTTAGAATAAAAAAAGTAGATTTCCTTTCCACAGGGAGAGCGATTTTGATAGTGATGTCTGGAAGGTGATCCATATCAGTTTTCTGTAGTCCCTCCCATAGGTACAATTTCAGCTGTTTTAGGACTTTTGCTCTCTGCCCTAAAGATAGGTAACAAGTTGTGTTGGAAGTGAGGTGTACAAATCTTGCTTTTTAGAACAAAGGTGTAGACTTTCAGAGGTCTTTGGGTTTCACTCTCAAAATGAACTTGCAAATCAAATTGTCTTGCATCTTACTGGGAAGTAAAATGTATCTGAAGCAGTCCTGTATACACCAGCCTGCCATGCACCTGATTTGCCACTACTTGTAAGCATTTTGGAAGTCGCAGCTCACATGCAGCTCCCAAAGAAATAAAATAAGAACGTGTAGAAATATGAAAACATTTTTCAGCTTGTTGTCAGACCAGTTTATTTCAGAGTGTTCATTTCCCCACATGAAACATCACAGTTTGAAAGAAATCGATTTGTAAAACAGGCTCTGGAAGATCTATCACAAAAGAGTCTCCTGCCACACGCCACGAGTGTCATCCCGTCCAGACCCCGCGCCTACTTGTGAGCAAAAAAGCTGGATGTCGATGATGTCTGTCTCTAACACTGTTTACACCTGGGATAGCAAAGCGTGGACCTGCAAATGGCAAGTGTTAAGGAGGAGCTGCAAAGCCTACACCGGGGAGCGACGGGCCAAGGGGACCCGCTCGGCGGGCCGGGCTCGGGGAGCGAAAGCGCGGCCCCGGGAGCTGCCCCCCAGCCCCTCGGCCGAGCCCACACCGTGCCGAACCCCGGGAGCCCCGAGGGAGAGAGGCAGCCCCGGAGCCGGGCGGGGAGGGCCGGAGGGAGCTCCTTCAGAGGGCAGCGGCCCCGGAGAGCGGCCAGCTCCGGCTGCAGCTCCGGCTGCGGCGCGAGAGGGAGGCGAGGGGAGCTCGGCGGCTCGAGTGGGCAGCCGGGGAGCGGAGCCCCTCCGCGGAGATCCCGGCGGACAGCCTCCAACCCCTCGCTCCCTCCCTTCCTTATTTCCCTCCTTCCCTCTCGCCTCTCGTTGGCGGCTGGCAATCCTGCCCGCAGCACGAAGGGGCAGTGACACAAGCCGGGGACAAGCCCGCCGGAGGCAGCCGGCGCCGCCGCGCTCTGCTCAGGTACCCCGACCCTGTCCGAGGATCCGCGTTTCGTCCCCTAATACTCCTCTTCTACCTTTCCCTCCTCTTCTTTTCTCCTCTTCTCCTCGATCCTCTCCCTTCCCCCCGCCCCTCTCGCCGAGCGGCCGCGGGCGCAGCCCCCCGACGCCGCTGCCGGGCCGGGAGGTGCTCGGCGGGGCCGGGGAGGGAGTGGCCGGGTATCTCCCGGCAGGGAAGCGGGGTCTGGGTCTGGCAGCCTGTCTGTGCGTGTGTGCGCCGAGGGGGAGGGAGGCATGGGGGCCGGGGGGTGCCGGAGGAGGGACTATGGGGAGAGGAAGGTATAAGAAGGGATGCGGGCAAGGGAGGGGGGTGATGGAAAGAGGGGGTGCGGGGCAGAGGGGCAGGCGCTGACAGCTGCTTTCTCCGCACCCATAGTCCCCTCCCCCGGTGCCGCCGTGGGGTGGGACTCCCCGGCGGGCCGCGGTCTCCCATTCTGCTCTCCACCCCCCCGCCGCTGCCCGGCGCCGGGGGTCGGTGCTGGGGCGGGCGTGCCGGGGGTGGGCGGGCTCCGCCACCCGACGGCGCGTCCCGGACAGTGCCCCACAGCCGGCGGGTGGGCAGCGGCACCCCCGGGACGATGCCGCTGCTCGGCGGGGACTGGCCGGCGGCCCCGCGCCTCTTCCCGGCCTCCGCTGCCGTCCTGCTGGGCGTCCTGTGCCTGCCCGGGGCGCCGGCCTCCTCCCTGCTCACAGGTACGCGGGTCGCGGGCTGCGCGGGGCCCACCTGCGCCGGGTGGCATTGCGCGGGAAGGGCGGCCCGGGGTGTTACCGCGTGGTTTGGGGCAGATGAGCGCAGCAACCTCTCTCCTCCAAAAAAGGTTTTCTTGTTCCTTTGCTCCCCCCCTCCCCATTCTCCCTGTTTCCCCTCGAGGGTTTTATTTTCCTGAGATCTGGGGCATGGAGGGAAGCGCGGAATCGAATTCTAGCATAAGCGAGGAGCCATTATTAGACTTTGAGGAATGAGTCCAGTATGACAGAATACCGGTGAATCAGCATTAGGGCCGTAAAGGGCTTTCTAGTTTGATTCCGTTTGACAGTCAGCCTGCTAATTTTGACTCAATTGCCAAGTGGTTGCTGTGCATTTTAAAAGGATGCTTGGTTTAGGGCTTGTGCTGGTCCAAGTCCTCAAAGTGAAATGGACAGCTTTCTGCTGATTTCGGTGAGCTCTGGATCTATCGTTGTAGACGTATCCTGCTTTGCATGGAGTGCTCGTTATTCTCCACACGTCATCTGAGAGAAGAAAAAGCATTCTTCTTTGCTATAACTGGGGCACAAAGAAAGTCTAGGTTTGTGCTGCAATAAAAGGCCACTCATTTCCCTGTTCTCTTTAGAAACTTGCAGAAACGCTAAACGTCCTTGCCTGACTAAATTGGGCAAACTAAGGCAGGGTTTTAAAATCTAGGGCCAGGAATAGAGCAAGGGTTAAACGTGAGTGTGATGAGGATAGTTTCTAAAACTGCAGGGTGAAATGACACATGCTAGTATTTTAAAATTTTTCTTCCTATTTCAGGATCGGTTGCAAAATGTGAAAATGAAGGGGAAATTCTGCAGATACCTTTTATCACAGACAACCCTTGTATAATGTGTATTTGCCTGGTAAGTGAGTATTTCTACTAGTAAGAACATTCAGAGACGTACTAAACGTAACTGCTCTGAGCAGGGAATGCTTCACATAATCAAATCTTGGGTGACTGTTGCCTTTATGTAACACAAGGTTGTCTCATAGCTGAGTTAATGGAAAGTAACCCAATACACGATCTGGCAATCATTTCTTTGACTTTAAAGCCCGGGCACAAAGCTGTACATGACTTTATTTCAGGACATTGTGAAACCATGTTTACCATGTGAATTTGTGGGGAAAACTTCCACAGAATTGGGGGTGCACCCAGAAATCTTTACTTGTAGCTCAGCAAAAAGAAGGAAAGGTAAGGTTTGGAAATGATGCTGCTTTGAGCTCCTATGTGCTCCCTGTCACAATCCCAGTGAGTGAGGAACTTCACAAGGGTGCAAAGTGAAGGCAGCAACATAACTGTATGTGCTGTAATAACAGCAGTGGCAGTGAAAGCACAAGTGATGCTTTCATCAGAGTTCTTTGCCTGCTGTGCTGGGAGTTCAAGGGTTAATAGCGTTGCTAACCGATACACATTTTGGGGAGAAACATTCTGCTTCCTTGTCATTCTCTTTAAGAGTTAAGCATTTTTGGAAGCAGTTCAGCTGGACAAGCCAAGGCTTAGGAGTTATTGTAAAACAGTCATTCTAAATAAAACTTCCTATGATATTTTTAAATAAAAGCCATAAACCTTAATTTGCTGTTTAATGGAAAGAAAAGTATAGGCTTATAAAGCCCTATGTTTTACATTTTGGAATTTACAGAATAACTGTAACAGTGTTCTACTTTATGATTGAAATATCAACATACCCTGTCCCCCTCATATTATTACTATTATTATTGTAAGTCTATTAAAAATGTAAAGAATTGTTTCAAACTGCCTTTTAGAAGGCAATTTTGGTACCTGTAGGACCAAGATCATCTTGAACCCCTCGAGGTTGATATCTGTCACTGCACTGAGTTCAGTAGATTTTAAGTGAGATTCACTGATAACCTTTTAGGTAATATTGATAAAGAATACGTTATTGATTTCTTCTGAGCAGAGTCAGATGGGGAAAAGAGCAGCATTGGATGCGGCAAGTAAAGAAATCAAAGGGAAAACAAAAAGAGCGACAAAGCTGTGTTTTATCATGGATCACCTTCCCAAATATGTCTGCCACCACTTTTGCTAATGGGAGCTGGTGTTAACTAGTGAGGAAGCAATTCATCTGTGAAAGAGCAGAAGTTCAGTCTTGGGCATCAGGGCAATAATGCATGAAGGTAAAACACTTGCATTTATAGATCTCTCCAGAGCTTGGCTTTATTAAATCAATGAGCACCCTTTTAGTGTGTGAGCACAAAGAACTGCAAAAGGCAATGGATGTAAGAACTCTAAATCCCTGTGGTTTGCAGGGCTTACTTTAGTGAAATGGCAGCTGAGGGCATTTGGCTCCCTTCTGTGCCAGGAGAACACTATGTTTTATTAAGCACATAGGTGCCTAGTGAGTTACTGCAGTTATCTGCCCTGGCTAAGCTGTTTTATTTCTGCCAAAGGATAAATGCAATCTCTGTTTCTTTAGTTGGAAACTGGGAGACTTAGTAGAGGAGAAGGAAACCAGCCTGGAGATACTGGCTTTAATGCTGTGCAACATCCAAAGCATTGACTTGTAGGACTGCCCATTGCTGAAATCTTTGTTCAGGCCTGCCACAAGGGAAAAGATCAATTTTAAGAAGTCTGAGGAGAGACAAAACAAAAGAAACAATAGGGTTATTTGTGACCAGGAGGGAAGAGAAAACCAGATTGCTTACATTAAATTTAAATAATGATTGTTTAATAACAATTCAGTGAGGAACTTTGTCTCTTCAAGGGCAAACCTGATGGATGTTCATACTGTAAGAAGTATAAAAAAAAGAGCGCTTGATCAGCTGTTAAAGAAAGGAAGCAATTGCTGTTTAAGAGAGGACAGAAAATTCAACATAGGGAACCTATCTTAAAAACACCAGTAAAGTGAGTCACTGAAATTGCAGATTGGATTATGGCATGTCTTCATTAGTGATGATGCATGTCCATTACCACAGGCTGCCATAAATAACAACACAAGTTGTGGAAATCTGAACAGCTCTGGGATGAAGAGGAATATCTTAATAACTCTGGATGTCCCATTTCAGGCAGTGTCCCAGGCCACACCCCCATCCTGAGCAACTTGATCTAGTGGGTGGCCTCCCTGTCCATGGTGACATGGAACTAGATGTTCTCTGGGGTCCCTCTAATCCAAGCCATTCTATGATTTTCTTAACTCCCTTCCTGGACTTTGCCCATCTCACAGATTAGAGGACACAGAACTGAAATGCAGGAACTGTATCATCAAGTGTTTGACAGAACTTTGCAGACTGTCCTGTGGAGCATGCAGCTGCATCCTAGCAAGAGGGAATGAGAAGCAGCCGAATGGTCTCTGGCTTTCTCTCAACAGGCTAAATAATTTTGGAGGTAAAGCAACAGGTAGTGCTCTAGGAAAAAATGTGGTAGACATTGGAAGCTCATGGGTTATGACTAAGTTGCAATAATGAAATGAGGACTGCAAAGAGCAATTACAAAATCAATTCCTTTTACACCACTGGAAAGTCTTGGCAGGAAGACCAAAACCAAAAGTTGTCTTTTCTCATTGATTAGCAGAGACAGGGTGGACTGATCTTCATGGTAGGAACGTGAGCAGAAGCAACGCAGATAGAGCACAGACTGCTGTCTGTGGACACTGCTTTGGTGGAAGCTTCTAGCTCTTGTTTTAAAATTTTATTTTTAACTCAAACTCCTGAATCTTGAATACAAGAGAGGCGTTAGTGGGGATGTCCTAGAAATAGCTGAATTTAGCTATCAAAACAGATTTGCTCATTTTTGAGCACTTGCTCTAACGTGTGGAAAGAGAAATTGAGGTGATACAGGAGTTCACATTGAGGGTCATGTGCTGGAGGTTTCATATATGGTGTGTGATAAGCCATTCACTTCTAAATTATCAGTGATGCTTTCTAATAAAAAGGCACTGTACCCACAGTGAAATATCTCTGCTTTGGATGTCCCTGCTTGTGAAAAGGAAATGTGTTAGAGTGCATGAACAGCTGTGATGCTTGCCTTTAATATGAGGAAACAGGTAAAACTAAGGGTGTGTAGGTGTGTGTACGTAAACATTGTAATGCTCTGCATGCAAGAACTACCAGCTGAATAAACCTCTATGGGTAAAACCTCAATTTCCCAAATTCATAATTTATCTGTGTCTACTTAATGGTCTTAATAATGCCATAGAAATGGTCATTTTTTATATCTCTAAGATGAGAGTTTCAATGTGAGCTTTTACAATTATCACACTTTAGCAATGGCACAAACATGAATGAATTTGATCTCCAAAGAACTTGTCATAAATTGCAGCTGACTGCAACAAATGGCCATTTTATTTTTGTCCTTTTAGAGAAAAACATCAAAGTAAAAGAATGGAATGTGGTTTTTCCACAAGGAATTTCTTGTAGGACTGATGAAAGCTCAGGTCTCCTAACTCATGGTCTAATGGTTTGACTACAAAGACATTGCTTTTTATTTCATGCACTTCTACTTTACAAGTGGATGCAGGTGACAACGTCACAATGTGAACATACTTATTTTCTTTTGTGTCTTTCTGACAACAGGCAGGCTGCACAGATACCAGATTTTTGGTGTGTCTGCTCTCCTGGGCTTCTTCTGAGGCATGGATGGGCAAAAGACAAAACTATCTTCATGATACAGAGGTTTGGGGAAGTATGCTTTATGACTTGCTATTGCTATCTGCAATATGCTGTTAGAGCCAGAGTGCTCTGGTGTTCTGCCCACTTCCACTCTGAATGTCTTGTGGCTCTGCATCTCCTCTGAGATGCACTGCCTCTGGGAATATAACATCCTACCTTGTTTTCCGTAGGATTTTGAGATACTGGAAAAGGGCAAAGAAGGCTGAAGGCAACTGAAAGTACCTACTTTCAAATGCATTCACCTTATATGCTATTAAACACAGACACTGGAGAAAGTACTTAGAGCTGATGGGTTAAACAGATACACAGAAGTTGAACTGGAAAATTGTTTTGCTGTTTGTGCCATGGCGGAGCATCCCATTGTGACCGTGTTTATCACTCAAAACTTTTCTGGTGAAAGGATGGGAAATGCTCCCAGCTGCAGCAAGTTCTGTATCAGATGAAGGTAAACAGTGAAAGGAAATACTGCATGTGATGGGCAGTAAGTTAACCAAGTCTATGAAGAAAAATTGTCAAACCAAAAGAAACTATTATTTCAGATAACGGTATGGCCCCTGATAGTACAAAAAAAATAGAGAACATATGATTGTGACATTATGTCATCCTTAATGGTCACCAGTAAAAATGTCTTGAGTCTTCTTGGCTTCTGAAATCAAATAAGTGAAACTGGGTTATGAAGATGAGTGAAAAAAATTGTGTTTTAGGGAACTAGTCTGAATTGGTAATGATGATTATAGATAAAAATACATAATCTTGATGGTATTCATAATGGAGTTATACTGATTCACTTTGAGAAATTGATTCCAGTTATTAAATGCTTTAAGACTGCAAGTGATTACAGATACACTACCTAATGCAAAAATTATCTTCTAAAATTATCCTCCCACATCTACAGAAAAATGATATTTTAAATCCATAGGAGCACTTTGCACATCTCGTGCAGCTTAAGGAGCCCAAACATGTTGTGTATGACAATTTCAGATCTTTCTCTTTTATATGTGAAAGTTTTTGGCTGAAGGTTGTGGAGGCATAAGTAAATTTCTGTTAGTAGAACCAAACAAGACTTCATAAATATGAAAGCCTAACACATTTTGGTAAGTTTGGGACTTTTTGTATATTGAGGATTTTGAAATGTTAGGGGGAAAATGCTGTTAACGGACTATTAAGGGAATTTTTGATTAGATTTCTTTTATTTGAGTGTCGGCATTTAAAACAGGCATGGAATATTTAAGTTCAG